TCCCCACATTATTCATGAAATCATCTTTTTCCCACTGATACGCAATGTCAGGTATTCTATGTCAATTTTTTGTATTTATGTGAGTCCTTTTCCAGGTTCTTTTTTATTTTATTGATCTATTCCTACACCAAAGCCATACTATCTTGATCATTACTGATTTTTAATAGATTTTAATATTTGGTAAGAAAATTCTCCTATTTAATTCTTCTCTAAGAGTACCCTTACTTAATTTTAATCCTTTGTTCCTTCTTATAGCCTTTAGAATCATCTTTTCAAGTTCTATAAAAAGTCCTGTTAGGATTGTGATTGACATTGTATTGAATTTATATATTGACTAGGGGATTTTTTACATCTTTATTATATTGTCTTCTTATCCATTGAGTTGGAATATTGTTACATTCATGCAAGTCTCCTTTCCTGTCCTTCAATAAATGTTTTTGCTCTTGGACACCGTGCTTTACATGGGCTGAGTCATTTCATATAGTGTGTGGGAGCCAACACAATACTAAAACAGCATTTCCCAGCCCAAACTATGCCTTTTCTCAAGGTGATAATCTACATGCTCTGTTGCATCTCTCAGGAATGAGTGGCAGAGAACAGCAGAAGAGAGAGCCTCCAAGGCTCAACCACAGTCCCTAGAGTCAACCAGCACAAGCATTCGCAAGGATGTGGAACAACACAAACTCTTGCTGGGAGACACAGGATTGGGAAAACCATTTTTGAAAACAATTTGGCATTATGTAAAATTGTTGGAGTCTTTTTCTGACTACCAACCAGTAATTCTGTTCTGATATTTACTCTTACTAAATAAAGTCTAGACTTGCACTGTCCAATATGGTGGTTACTAGCTACTTGTGGCTATTTAAATATATATATAAATTAATTAAAATTAAAAGAAATTTAAAAATTCAGTTCCTCAGTTGTACTATCCACATTAAAATGCTCAATATCCACATGGAGTTTCAGTGGCTGCTGCATTGGACAACTTAAATAGTGGATATTTCTTTTATAATAGAATGTTCCATTGGATTACGTCTCCTAGAGAATCTCTCTTTTTTTTTTTTTTTTTTTTTTTTTTTGAGATGGAATCTCACTCTGTTGCACAGGCTGCAGTACAGTAGCATGATCTTGGCTCACTGCAACCTCCGCCTCCCGGGTTCAAGTGATTCTCCTGTCTCAGCCTCCTGAGTTGCTGGGATTACAGGCATGCGCCACCACACCTGGCTAATTTTTGTATTTTAGTAGAGATGGGGTTTCACTATGTTGGTCAGGCTGGTCTTGGACTCCTGACTTCATGATCCGTCCACCTCGGTCTCCCAAAGTGCTGGTATTAGGCGTGACCCACCGTGCCTGGCCGAGAATCTCTTAACTAGAAAATAACAGTAAGATTATTCACTGTAGTACCGTATATAATGAGAAAAAAAGAAACAATGTCTCTATCAACAGTGTAATGTACAAATAAATTTTTATGTATTTATAAAGCTGACAACTATTCAGTGAAAATCAATGAACTCCACTACACGCATCAACACGTGTGCATTGGAAAAATCCTGTGGAGTGCAGAAAAGTAAGTCTTGGAAAAAAACATATAACATGACTCAATTCATATATAAGTTAAATGGGCAAAACCTGTCATATAGCTTGTTAAATTTTTTTTTTTTATTATCACACCTGATCCTGAGACGGTAGCAGGAGTAATGTAATACTTCTGAAGTGAGATCCAAGATAGAGAGGGTTCCAAGAAACTAGAGTCATGTTCAAAGACCTCCTGACTTCATTGGCCTACTTTTCATTCAGGATAATTTTATCGGTTGCATTTATTTGGGGGCTGCGTACTACTCACAGGAAACAGCAGAACTCACCAGGATGCTGTCCAGTGACTCTGACCATGTCTGGATCCCAGATCCCTTTGAGAATCCAATGAAGTTCAATGTTAGATTCTTTACATTTGTACAGTTATGGAGCTAGTTTTAGAAACTGGCCCAGAACTTTGCAAATCAGAGGTTCTGGAGCATTTTGCAGTGGGGTTGAAAAGCATGATGTGTAGTTAATATTTTGCTTTCCACATGTATGGATTCTTTTAAAACGTCTAAACACACCTTTTACATCTTTGGTTCACGAAACTGTAATCCCCATCCACTCTGAATGAACCATAACACATTCCAAATGAGAAGGATACAAAATAATGAGATAAGTGCAAAAGAATAGAAGGAATTGCATCCAGAAAGAGCATAATAGGGGTAGGAATGTAGAGACATTTGGATCTTTTAGGCTCAGATGAGAGTCATCAGAAAAAGCCTCTAGAGAAAAACATGGGGATAAAGAGACTCTGCAGCTAAGATGTGAGATGTCCCAGGCCTGGAAGTGGGGGGGAGCTTATGTCCTCTTCCTCCAAGCATGAAGCCAGCCTCCTTCCTTGTCCACCCAGCACAGGTATGAGTTTAAGAACCTTCACCAAGCATGCGTCTCAAGACTCTCTGATATCTTGAGATATCTGAGATATGGCTATAGTCATTTTCCTACTGTATCTCTTAATCATCCCTAAATATAAACATGGATCCAAATATTTAACCCTATAGTTTTTCTAACACCAAGTACAGGGAAGCCAGTGAAGTCTCTGTTAATGCTTTTATGCCCAAGAATGTAAAGAACTAGAACTCGGCAACATGGGATGCATGTCTCTCCCCGTGACCTTTGAAACCAGTGTGCTCAGGGGTTACAAGTACCACCACTTACACTGCTGTCCTGTGGCAGTTACACGCACATGCCTGCCATTCAGAGTTTTGGAGTGTGCGTTGACATCTGTGTGTGTGTGAAGATAAATGGGTGCTTGTTTGGATGCAGGACATGATACAGGGCATTGCTGGTATGCTGTCAGAAACCTCATGTTAAAACGAGCCACCCGAAGGACGGCTTCTGACCCTTGGAGTCACTCACTCACTTATGGGACTGCGTCTCCAGTCTACAATTGTCTTCTTACTATGGGAGCAGAAAGTTTGAATCAAAAGAGAACACTGAATCAAAATCAACAACTATTAAACAAATGGACAATTAACAACTACTAAACAAAATATGGTTCCTTCTATGGTAATTTAAAAAACGACTGTAACATTGTACATTTTAGGAGGAAAAAGGATCAAAAGATGACTAGAAACCTAAGTGAGCCTGGAGAAAAAGCTAAGTGGAGATATTGTAGCTAGTCGATGAGAATGAACATAGGAAAATTTAACTTAGAAACTGAGAAAAGATTCCAGTGAACCAAATATCTGGACACAGCCCTCGGAACACAGCACCAGGACGCGTGAGTAATGGCGTGCGCTGAGCAAGTCAGAAAGATGCCAGGACTACCGCCTCAATGGGAAAAAACATCCCCTGGGCTTGTCCACAGGGCCTCTCTGGCTGCACCACGGCTGCTACTGTCACTAGTTAGGATGGAAAATGTGATGAAACTGATTTGTCTTTCCTAATCCGGACACACACTCGATTCTACCATCTTTATTTTCAGGACCAAGGCATTTGGCATTTTTTGTGTGCCTAGTAATGTTGTTTGCCAAGTATATTAGTCAGGGTTCTCTAGAGGGACAGAACTAACAGGGGATGGAGATATATATATGAGTTTATTAAGTATTAACTCACGCCATCACAAGGTCCCACAATAGGCCGTCTGCAAGCTGAGGAGCAAGGAGAGCCAGTCCAAGTCCCCAGACGGAAGAACTTGGAGTCCCATGTTCAAAGGCAGGAAGCATCCAGCATGGGAGAAAGGTATAGGCTGCGACTCTGGGCCAGTCTAGTCTTTTCACGTTTTTCTGCCTGCTTTATATTCTAGCCATGCTGGTGGCTGATTAGATGGTGCCTACCTAGGTTAAGGGTGGGTTTGCCTTTCCCAGCGCACTGACTCAAATGTTAATCTCGTTTGGCAACACCCTCACAGACACACCCAGGATCAATACTTTGCATCCTGCAATCCAATCAAGTTGACACTCAGTATTAACCATCACACCAAGCTTTTGCTGGAGCCTCTTGATGACAATTTTGATTGAGTCAGAAGGATGAATTTGGCAGAGATGCCGGTCATATTAACAATTCACTGCACAGGTGGAGGACCTGAGGTCCATATCCAACTGCAAATTTCTGCCTGCCTCCTGCCTCCAGGATGATCTGGGGATGTGCTGGCCTCTCAGCATTATTGCCCATGCCCTAGTATGGTGGAATTGTGTTTAAAAGTGTGACGGTTTTATTCTTCATAAGAATCAGACTGCCTTGGCTCAAATTGTAACTCCATCACTTTGCAGGTTTGTGGCCTCTGGCAAGCTACATAACTTCACTGACCCATATATGTGATAGAGATAATGATAGGGTTATTACGGGAGCACACCTGATGATAGATGTAAAGCACTCAGTACAATGCCTGTTTGTAGGAAGCATCTAATAAATTTTAGTTGCCGCTATAACTAAGCACTTGCCTCTTTTTCACATGCCATTTTAGCCAGATCAAATAGGTAGGAAAAAAGGCTATCAATCATGACGTTTATACTTTCCTGTTTCTAAAAAGGTACACTTCTAAAAACTTATATAATCCATTTATAGCTATTAACTTAAACTTGGAAAGTTTGGATATTTGGTCTGTCTTCAGAAGTGTTTATCTGAGGATGTAAGCCCTACCGCTCAAATTACTATGTATCACCACTGATGTGCATTATGTTGATTCTTATACCTATTATATGCATGTGTGAAACTAAGCCCCATAAAAACAGAATGGAGGCATTCCTGCTGAAAGGAAGTGAATTGAAGGGAAGAGAAGCAGAGCCTTTGCAAAGAGAAAATTGTCCTATCTCTCGACCAGTGTCAGAATGTGGAAATGTTTACAAAATGCTCATTAAAAGAAATAGGGATTGCAAGATAGAAACAAATTCTGGTGCACAAGTTTACACTAGGGAGATAAGAAAGGCTAGGCCCCTATAGGGGATTTTGTTATCCAATTACTGCAACCTGACTTTTAGGGGGAGAGGAAGAGTGGTAGGGGGAGGGAGAGAGAGAGGAAGAGTTTCCAAACTTGTCTCCAGTGACAGGAGACATTTACGCTCCACAAGATAAAACTGCCACTTAGAGCCCAGGAGAGCTAAACCTTCCTGGCTTGGCCTAAGGGCTCGAGCGGAGTCATGGGCTCTCTGGGCCTGACACTGTGCGCTCTTTTCTGCCTGGCAGCTCACTTGGTTTCTGGGAGCCCCATCATGAGCCTAGAGCAGTCTCCTCTGGAAGAAGATATGCCCCTTTTTGATGATGTTTTCTCAGAGCAAGATGGTGTCGACTTTAACACACTGCTCCAGAGCATGAAGGATGAGTTTCTCAAGACACTAAACCTCTCTGACATCCCCACGCAGGATTCAGCCAAGGTGGACCCACCAGAGTACATGTTGGAACTCTACAACAAATTTGCAACAGATCGGACCTCCATGCCCTCTGCCAACATCATTAGGAGTTTCAAGAATGAAGGTAAGTTTTTGCTGATGAAATTTGGCTTGGATTTTTTTCAAGACACTATAAGTAAATTTACAATGCATGGGAATGATATAGGTAAGGCTAAATACATCTATATAAGGATGTTAAATACATACAGATACACAAAAACAAGGCACATTTTGGTCTATACCATTTATATAGTCATTTCAGAACCTCAATAAATACTTACAAACATCTTTTAATCCAAAGCCACAAAATATCTATCAATTTGACATCATCATTGGGTCCTGTTAAAAAATGTTAATTTGAACACCAAGCAACACAAAGAATTAATGTTGGTCTACTGCCGTATCTTTGTCATTTTCCAAATAGGCCTTGATTGCCATTTGGGCTTTTAATTAACTAAAAAATTTCTCAACTTCTACTTAGAATACCAAGGATAAAATCAGTCAAAAAACATCAAGTTGTGATTTGTGTTTTGTTCAAACTTTTGATAAGTTTTTATTTTGTGACCGTATTTAAGAAATATTCAAACAGGATGGAAATATATTTTAAAGATTCTTCCTAAGGCTGTGTTGTTTGATGTGTCATGTACATCCTTAAAGCACTGTTTACAGTTTCCAGGAAGTGTGGATGGCCCATTAATCATCCAGCTCATCATTTCCGTCTTTATAAAGAGCAACGTACAAGCTTTGAATTACTGGTGGGAAAAGTTTGTTTTCTTCTCCTCAGTCTTTAAATTTGGTAACTAAATCTAATGAGCTAGCAAGTTATTTATTTTCTATTTTTTATTTTTTGCTTAATATGGTCCTGGTAGGAAAAAAAACTCTGATATCTAAATATCCATGGTAGAAGCTGATAGTCCAAATGAACTAATTTAATATTTGCCAATTATGTTTTTATAGTCACTAAACAGGTATAAAAGAAGCTTCCCATCAATGTTGGCCAGATGTTCTCAAAAGAAGAAAGGTAATAGTGAAGAAATAGCTCAGGGCTTGGAATTTTAAGGGCTGGTTGGCTTAGTGGTTGTAAATAATTAGCTGATGACTCAGAGCCTCAATTTCCTCATCTGTAAAGTGGGGGTAATAATACCTAGTAACATAGTTGAGTGACTCAAAAGAGGTTACAGATAAGAAAGCACTCCATTTACTATGAAGTGCTGATCCAACTTCAGTGATTACTAATGAGTTACTTAATATTCTAGGTGCTGGAATAAATGTTGAGTAGGTATTCCTTGGTCTCTAAGATATCTGCCTTTAAAATTGAGTTGGCTGACAAAATTTCTATTTCATAACATCTTTCTCATGGAAATGGCAAGATGAGATTACAGATTCCTTTTGGAGGGGAGTCTGAATTGAAAATGAACAACCTCCTCCTGTAAGAACCCTCCCTAATACTTCTCAGCACCGAGCCCTAAGTGTCTGGCTCTGGGTGCCGGTGAGAAAATGTTGTTTGCATCCCCCGGAAAAGTAGAAACGTTTTCCATTCTCACTTCTCTCATAGGGTATCTGGATGATCCAGGTCAGGATGTGGAGTTTACTGTGCTTATTATTACTGGAGATTATTGAGGGCAGGAACACACATCTCTCAGTAAACAACCCAGCCGCCAGCACCTCGGCCCGTCTGCAGGAAATGTGCAGCCTGAGGACAGAAATCGCACAGGGCACACCCTGTTGGCTACTATTGCCTCTCTTCTTACTCTTTGGATCTGCTTAGTGCAGCTCCCTAGGAGACAAAGACCAAAAAAAAACTCCAAACCTACATCATCTTAGGAAAAAAAGTGCCACCTCCAACGTGAAAAAAGCATGCCCTCAATTCCTAGCACTGCTCCTTTATCACCTTGTCAGGGGAAGTCAGTTCCCTGCATCGAGGCTTGATTTCTTCTGGTGCAAAATGAGCAGAGAATCAATACCTGCATTATGGGGTCATTGTGAGAACCAGAGAAGATCATGGTTGCAAAGCATCTGGCAAGAGAAATTTGTCAACAAACATTAGTTCTCTTGCCCTGAAATGTAACTCTTCAGTCTATTGCTTACTGCATTTGCACATGCACAGAACGTCACAGCGAACTTACTTTTTCAAAACAGTCTTCTTGAGGTATATTTGACTTATAAAAATATTGGTGTATAAAAGTATAATTGCACATATTTAAAGTGTATAATTTGAAAGGTTTTGACATAGGTAACATTCATTGAAACCATCACCACAATGAAGATCATGAATATATCCATTAACACCAAAAGCTTCTTTGTATGCTTTGTAATGCCTTCTTCCCACTACAGTGAGCTCTTATTTTATACTTTTCTCCTGGGTAGAGCAGCCAGCCTACTCCTCCATGTTCCCTGTCCATGGGGAGTCAAATCTCCTCCCTTCTAAGAGTGGGAGAATAATTCCCAAGCCCAACCCAAGAGCTTGATGATGGATTAAAGTCATATGTCACGCCCATAAATCAATTTAGTCTGATGCCTAGAATCATCAACTAATCAATATTTTTAAAGCACTACCTCTGTTTAAGCCATCATAGTAGGACAGAGACATACAAGGGAGTTTTGAGCCATTCAAACCAGGAGGATGGCAATCTAGTTGGGAAAATTCATTCATAAAAAGATGGCTGAAATACAAGGACGTAAATGACAAAGATCAAAGGAGATGTAAAGTGCTCAAGTGATTTCAGAGGGGAGGGGAGGGAACTTTCAGATAAAGAAGTAAGGGAGCCTTTTACAGGAGATGTCAGAGCTGGATAGGTGGAGGTGAGGTGAAAGGGCTTTCCAAGGGTCAGAAGAACAAGTGAAAACGTGAAAATTACGGGGAAAAAAGAGTGTTTTGACAGGTGGTAAAGATATCAATGTAGTTGAGACAGAAGGGTTTACAAATCCATTCAATTGTTCACAAATATTACTGAGTAATCACAGTGTTCCGTGCACTGTGGAGGATGTAAGGAAGTTATGTCTGATCAGGAGGCTAAGACCCATGTATAGCTGATCTTGAAAGCCATTCCAGGGAGTTTAAATTCATTCTGTAGGTCAGCATTTCCCATTGGCAGTGTGTAAGATGATTTTAGGTGGTTCCCATAGAAAGCTATGAATCATGTGAAATAATTGTATATTTTTATTAATATGGATTTTTAGCAAACATACATAAATATCACCTCAAATCTCTCCTTTCATGAATGATGTTGCTTAGGAACATCATTCTAAAGTCTAAAATAGATAATAAGTGTAAAATAATTAGATCAAGTTAAAGAAAAATATTAAAAGATTATAATCTGGAACAGGGACTCACTGAGATCATGAATTAAGTATATACTTGGAGAAATGTTGCCAGTGATGAGGGAGAACCCCCAGTTGGTGGTCCTTAGCATCTTCAGTGCCATGGAGCCCTTTGATAATCTGATGGCAAATGCCTTCAGGGCTTCCTTGTAGACTCATTACCTGAGGCAAGTGTGCAGGAGCTTTGGGCTAACTGTAAAATATTCAGATAGGAAGTCAACATGATAGTATTTGGAGGTGTCCTTTTAAGACTAAAGGACTTTTACAGAGTTGATTCATAAACATTATTGAGTGAGTTATTTGTGCCATGCTCCATGCTAGGTGCTAGGGGTACAAGACTAAGGCAACCAATCTAGTCCCAGGATTCACTTTCTCCCATTACTCTTTGGACCATATAACCAAAAGTCAATTGCTGTGACCCTCTTGGTTTATGGCTGTCTTATTGACCTTGTCAGGCTTTGTTGCCTAGAACAGAAGTCAGCAAGTTTCTTCTGTAAAGGTCCAGACAGATAATAACGATTTTAAGCTTTGCAGGCTGTATGTTCTCTGTTGCGTCTATTTAACTCTGCCATTATAGTGCAAAAGCAGCCACAGACAATACAAAAACAGTGGATGAGGCTGTGTTCCAATAAAACTTTATTTCCCGAAGCAGGTAGCAGGCCCATTTTGGCCCATAGGCTCTAATTTACCAACCTCTGATCTAAATGGAGGTCTTTTAGGAAGAACAGTGCCCAGCCAACTGTGTGGGGATCTCCACCCACTACAAACACAAATATTAAAAAACCATGAAGTCCTCATCCCTGAAAAGCTTCAAGAAAAGAACAATCACATGTCCCATTTGATGGCTCTTTGTTGGTCAGGAAATTTGGGGACTTGCCCACACAATCTCCAAGTTCTCTCCCAGTTCTGTAATTCTGTGTCTGATGAGCTATTCAAGCAAGGCTGGCTGAATTTTACCCCATCCATTAGACCCCCATTTTCCATTTTAGTCTTGGCAACTGAACTCTTTTGGGCATTCTACCACTGACCTTTCGGGATTTCTTGTGTCACACAGAATGCTGACATTGTGTTTGTCCTCATTGATCTTCTCCCTTCATTCTTTCTGCATTGAGCTTTATGCATGGTAAGGCCTTCTTATTACATAAATAAGCATCTGTTTTTCCCTGAGACCCACTGCAAACCTGATTTTTGCAAATTTCTTTTTTCAGATCTGTTTTCCCAGCCAGTCAGTTTTAACGGACTCCGAAAATACCCCCTCCTCTTCAATGTGTCCATTCCTCACCATGAAGAGGTCATCATGGCTGAACTTAGGCTGTACACACTGGTGCAAAGGGATCGTATGATATACGATGGAGTAGACCGGAAAATTACCATTTTTGAAGTGCTGGAGAGCAAAGGGGATAATGAGGGAGAAAGAAACATGCTGGTCTTGGTGTCAGGGGAGATCTATGGAACCAACAGTGAGTGGGAGACTTTTGATGTCACAGATGCCATCAGACATTGGCAAAAGTCAGGCTCATCCACCCACCAGCTGGAGGTTCACATTGAGAGCAAACACGATGAAGCTGAGGATGCCAGCAGTGGACGACTGGAAATAGACACCAGTGCCCAGAATAAGCATAACCCTTTGCTCATAGTGTTTTCTGATGACCAAAGCAGTGACAAGGAGAGGAAGGAGGAACTAAATGAAATGATTTCCCATGAGCAACTTCCAGAGCTAGACAACTTGGGCCTGGATGGCTTTTCCGGTGGACCTGGGGAAGAGGCTTTGTTGCAGATGAGATCAAACATCATCTATGACTCCACTGCCCGAATCAGAAGGAACGCCAAAGGAAACTACTGTAAGAGGACCCCGCTCTACATCGACTTCAAGGAGATTGGGTGGGACTCCTGGATCATTGCTCCGCCTGGATACGAAGCCTATGAATGTCGTGGTGTTTGTAACTATCCCCTGGCAGAACATCTCACACCCACAAAGCATGCAATTATCCAGGCCTTGGTCCACCTCAAGAATTCCCAGAAAGCTTCCAAAGCCTGCTGTGTGCCCACAAAGCTAGAGCCCATCTCCATCCTCTATTTAGACAAAGGCGTTGTCACCTACAAGTTTAAATACGAAGGCATGGCCGTCTCCGAATGTGGCTGTAGATAGAAGAAGAGTCCTGTGGCTTATTTAATAACTGTAAATGTGTATATTTGGTGTTCCTATTTAATGAGATTATTTAATAAGGGTGTACAGTAATAGAGGCTTGCTGCCTTCAGGAAATGGACAGGTCGGTTTGTTGTAGGAAATGCATATTTTCCTCTCCAGTTAAGTCCCTTTCAATCTGTTTTCTCTTTGGACTTGCCATTTCCTGGCAATGCCACCTCCACGTTGATTTGAAAACAACTCCTAGGCAAAATACAGTGTCAAAAGACACATACTTGTGTATGTATATTTGTACATACATGAACTTACAGAAATCTTTTGGTTCTATGCAGGCAGATTATACTCATCTACATGCATGATTCACTCAAAAGTGTGCATATTAAAGGCCAATGGTATGTTCTCTGTTACCTCTTCTCTGAGTAAGATTTAAGTCAAGATAATTTGCATCAGGGTTTTAATCATCCTAGGAAGTATTACAATTCCTAAATACTCTGGAAATGTAAGTGTAACGTTTGTCAGTTGAGTTTCTGTGGTTGCTCAGAGAGGCGGGGCCTGGCAAAGGATGCTTGAAAGGAAGGGTTAATTGATACAGAAACCAAATGGACTCAAGAGGTCTTAGAGGTACAACAGGAAAAACTGAACCCGTGGGGGACCAGTGTGCTCCAGAGGGCAGCTCCTGGTCAAGGCAGGAAAACAGAAGAAACCAGCATGAATCTGTTCCTGAGACAATAGGAAAGCAAGGCCATGAGTACTGGCTGTTGCTGCTGCTGCGGAGAGTAGAGGGGTCAGGAGGGCACTTGAAGGGGAGAAAGGGAGAAAGGGAAAAGGATATTCATGCTATCCTCAGAGGCTATCCTCAGATGTGTCTGTAAAATCATAAGCGATTCTATTTAAATAATTAAATCTTTTGGACAAAATAGAAGTATCAAAGACTAACAGGAGGAAAATCAGAAGGGATCTGTCTGTTAGAAGAAAGGATGTTAATATCTTTCTTCACCTGTTAATGCTGTTCCCTTGTCTCCACACCCCTGCTTTCCTCTGCTCCATCTTCTTTCTTCCCTCTTTCTTCTTTGCTCTAGTGCCTCACGCCTTCCTCCCATCCCTGTGTTCCTGCTCTTCCCTGGCCTTCATGACGCATGCTGTGAACTGGAAAGGGACACCTAAGTGCCTTTGTTCTCAGGGTGAAAGGAGTTAGTGTTCTAATTTCTAAATCTTGCCCTGATATTTAATTTGATTTTATTTTAATACTATCCTTTATCAAATGTTGAATACTTAGGTATAAGAAAAAGGAAAACCAGAATAGGTAAGTATAAGAAAAAGAAAACCAGAGTCCAAATGAATGAATTTCAATAAACGAATTTATGGATAGACACACAACCAAATGACTCAAAAGCCAAGACTGAATTTGGAAATCATGTTGGCTTCATGGTAGAAACTCAGTAACTTTCTCATCTTCTCATCTTACCATCTTCCCATTTTGTAACTGGCCAGGACTGAAAGTGGTGGGGAAGTGATCTGCACAGGAAGGGTCCCGTGGGTTTTCCTGGCAGGTGGCAGGCTCCAGTCTTAACCCCTACCATTTCCCTCTACCTAGTAAGCATATCCTGGGTTTTGTGCAGGAGGAACCAGAGCAGAGCAGTTTCCAAACTGTTCCAGCATCTCCAGGCAGGGAACATGGACGGTTCCTGTTAGAACCAGGAATGTGGTTTCCAGTACATCGTCCCCCATTCACCGCTACTTATCTTAAGGAATGCTTTTTAAGAAGTCTGACACTTTCTTCTTTTTTTTACCCTGGAAAACCATCAGCCGCCTTTTACAAATCTCTTAAGATTATAAACTCAAACTGCGCTAGACAATAGAGGCAAGGAAAACCATTTTGAAGAACTTTTGCCCAATTTGAACCTCAGCTCGCTAGATCTATAGTCTGCTGGGTGAATCCTGGGGAATTCATTGCTCCTGGAAGAGCGGTATTTTGACCATCAGCGGGTATACAGTGATTGATATTTTGAGAAAGCCATACAACTCAGAATCACTATTTGTGGAGCAGCCTCCATATAACATGATGTGTGTATGTGTGTGTGATGCATAGCTGGCTTTGAACAACCACACTTAACACCCTCAGTGGAACGTGGTGCATCCTTCATACTCCATGGTACACAATATATACTCACATACTCCAAGGTACTTCTTATCCTTTCTAAAGGACACTGTAATAGATACACAGTAAAACCTCAGCTGACCAGGATAGTCCTGGTTAGATAAAAATTAAGCAAAATTTTCTTTATGTCTAATACATATGACAGTGGTTTGCTGGTAAATCCCTTACAACCAGCAATCCAGGGAGGGGGAAAAAGCCCTGATTTGTGGATTTCAATGCTGTAAATCCTCCTACATGGTCTATCTTGAGCTACCAAGGTGATGTCAACTGGCTTGCAAAACGTCTAAAACCTAAGTCAGCTCTTGGGAGCTGTGCACTGGCACTGGCACACTGCTGACATTTAGTATCCCACTGACATTAGCACACTGCTGACATTAGCACCCTGATACTAGAATGTTAAGGATGTGCCAGCCCTGCTTTCCACTGTGTGCACTGCTGGCTCTGGGCTTGTGGAGAAATCTTGTCTCGAGCACTTATAGTCACTCTTCTGTTAAAGAGATATGAAAATATAGGCTGTTGGCAATTAGGCTGCATAGCCCAGTTTCTCTTTTTGCCCGTTCGGATGTAAACCTGAATTTCTACGATTTTTCTGCTTCGCTGTGGAGAGGGAGTGCAGAGAGCAACATACTGGCTTTTCAAATGTTGCTAGTTGTATTTTTTTGGCTTTCTTTTTATGAGAAAGTGAAAAGACACAGCCCGTAGAGTTCTCCCAACTCTTACCGGATGCCTGGCAGCACACCGGCGTCATCTCCAACTCCTGCATTGACAGGAAGTCAGAACATTGTCAGATCGTTCAAAAGGTAGAATCTCGGTAATGTTTCTCTGGTCATAGACCTTCTGCTAGGTCCCATGCTAGTTTTTTTTCCCTTTTATGGCAGAATTATCATCACCGAAGTTGATATAGCTAAACAACTCTTGAGGAGAATTACAGCAGAGGGACTTGGGCAGCCCACAGCCAAAATATTCATGTAAGAGTTTCTAGGCTTCCCACTATTTATTGATTGATATATTTATTTTTGTAAAATATTGTAGAATACCAAATATTTTATTTTTATGTCTGTGATTCCCTTTTGGATAGAGAGTCTTCTGGGCTTCAGAATATGGCTCACATATAATATATGGCCTGTATTTCCATCTCTCTCTTTTTGCATCAGAATGTTCTATTGGTTTAAGGAATCTTCCACAGCTTGCCATAATTTTGTATTTTTGTGTCTTGTAGGTGTGCTGTGCCTCCAAACATGCTTTGTAGTATATTTTCTGATTTGTAAATAGTACAGTTTTAACTGAAGTGTAGATGTTCCAGGAAATATTTAACCAATACATTGTCATGCAGTTTCATAAAGTGATGTTGTCAGTTTATCATGAAAGGCAAATATTGTCAGGCTGTGAGAGAATGTGATTGCTACTCAGTAAATGGAGACGCTATTTAAATGAATCTTTTCATCCCCCAAAGCTGGTACTTCTCCTCTGGAATTTACCTATTGCCTTCACTGACCCAGAAATTCAGAGATGTGATTGGTCAAATTCATTTGTAATTGGACCAATTACTTTGTAAATGTTAAAGATGTTAGCTTAGTGGTTTCCAAAAGAGTCAGCCCCAAAGTGCCCAATTCTTTCCCGATGTGTAAATTTTGGTCTGGGGAATTAACGACAAAAACTTTTTTTTTTCAGAGCTGTTACTGAATGTTTCAGTATTTGTTATGATTTACAGTCTTCAAGTAAAAGATATTTTCATGTAAGAGAATTTTATGTATTCTTCTTACTTGATTCATCAACAGATTATGAAGCCCAGCAGTGTTCCGGCAAAACCTTGTTAACTTGTCTAGAACACAGAAGGGGTGTTGTCCTTTTTAAGGACTGTAGATCTTTTCAGAGTCACTGTGGGTCATTCTTAACCCTCTGCAGTTCTGCAAGCTCACATGTGGTGCAAGAGGAAAGGCTGGTATGACTCTGTGCATTTTCTTGCCCCTAAACAAGAATAGTTGATTTCATATGTTAAATGGAAGGTAGACATGACTATGCAAGAGAAGTATGCAGGGGTGTTTCTGCATGTGGAACTTTTTTCATAAGTTAAAAACCCATCATGGAATAACTGTTTGTTGTGATCAGCATGTTTTTATCACACACGAGCACTGGTTTTGTGAGCACCTGGCTTGGTAGTGATAGGGCGGCCAATGTGCCAGCGCCTGTCTACTGAGCATTCGTGGACATTGGAAATCAGTGAACGCCACAGACACACAGAATCAGCTGGTGCACGGTCATGTTCTCAGGTAAAACCTGTTCATTATCCATGTCCAGATTTGTATAGTTATCACTAGACTAAAATGAAGATGGAAATAAATATTTTACCCTGTGTTCATGAACCAAATGTGTACATTCAGAGTCTTTTTAAGTAAAATAAAAAAATTATTTTGGTGATAATTATTTGCAGCTTATTTTTCCTTGAGGTGAGATATTTAGTTTTGCACACACCCCACTTTTTCATGTTTCTATTTGATAACATGTCCAGAGGGAATAAAACTAATTGCTATATTAATAGAGAATGGTCTGAAGAAAGCATAAGTTGTTTTGGGCTTGTAACTGACCTTAGTAGAGACTGGGATTTTGTGGCTCCATGGTTCTCCCACTTTATATGACTTTGTGTAATTCCCATTAATGCACAGGCATTCATAGAAAATACAATTGGCTCCCTTTTGTCAGTAGCTGGGAAATATTTCTTCTTCGAATACCAAAGGAGGCAGATTAGAGGTAACAGTCCTGGCCAACAGAGAAACCTTGCTGCTTGTTCAAGAAGGAAATTCATTCTTATGGCAGAATGTGGAATTTGAAGGGCATAGGGACAGACTCAGGTAGAATAAAATCTCTTCCATCAGAAAATCATCCTGCATCTCATTTTTGAGGGGAAGCCTCCAGTGTCTCAGCTGGCAGTCTGAATCTGGCAAGTGTGTTGGAGGGAGGCAAGCCCTCAGCCCTGGATGAGCACTGATAAGGTGAG